GAATTCCAGTTAGATACCCAGGGGGTGCAGAAGCAATACTGATGTAGGAAACAAAACAAGGAGAAAAAGAAGTTTCTGCTGTTGTTTTGAGGATGGGAAGTTAGGTGACTCTCATGCTTAAGGTTGCAGTGTACAACTAGATGAGGGATCTCTCTTCATCTCCCCTATTCCATGATAATAAAGGAACTCCACACCACGTGGCACAAAATATACCCTTTTAGAGGCGTTGGAGTGCTAATACATCATTTTCTTTTTGCTCAAGTGATGTCATTTTTCTGTGCAAAGTTTTCGTTTGAGAATATATAGAATCATAGTGTAGGTAAATCATAGAATGGTTTGGGTTGGAAGGGACCTTTAAATGCCATCTAGTCCAGCCCCCCTGCAGTTAGTAGGACATCTTCGGCTAGATCAGGTTGCCCTAGTATAGAGCATATACTAGCAGAACTTGACAGAGCCCTGTCCAACCTGATCCTGGAATGTTTCCTAGGATCAGGGCATCTACAACTTCTCTGAGCAACTTGTTTGTAAAAACACCATTCTTGTAAAAAATTTCTTCTTAATTTCTTCCTAAATGGCAACACTGGGATAAAAATAAATCAGGTAGGAAAACCATGGAGTCATCCTAGGTATCTTGTGAAACTTGCGAAGTAAACATAGAAAAGGGTTACTTTGACATCCTCCCTTCTGCCCCAAGATGCAACCAAAACCTGATTTTGAAACCAGTTACATAGTGAAAGTTGAAGGGACAGTGAGATAGTATTACTTTTGCTGGCTCTTTTTTTTTTTTTGTTTTTAGTAGTAAGAAGGATGAATTGGTGGTATTCTGCCAAATTCTGAGATTGACCAAAGAGAAGCAAAGGAGAGGAAGGAATTCAAGCATAGATAAGGAAGAGGAAAGTGAGGGAAACACAGAAGTTTGTTTCATTTCTCCGTAATCTAAAATAATAATATTTTATTATTTTATGGATAATGCTGCTCTTACTCCATAATGTTTTTTATCTTCAGTGCACACGTGTCTTATTTTCATTGCCTCAGTCATTTTGCTGGGGGTCCTGCGTGGTCAGGCATCTAGCTGTCCATTTCACCACAGTTAAATGAGGCATATCTTCTGTTTCATCATACTGAACCATAAGAATAATTAAATGCCATGAAATGTGTATCTTGGGTAGACTGGGGAGGTGACTCTCCCCAAAGTAGAGACCTTGAGACTTATAAAATATCTGAAGTGAAAACTTATTTACAACAGTGTTCACCTGGTTATGCAAATGAACATGCACTATGTGTTACAATATTAACTATAAGTTATAATATGCTAAGAGTGTTATTCATGCCTTCTTGAATGTTAGAATAGTGTTGCAATATGCTTTTTGTGACTGCCTCAATGTGTCTCCATAGAAAAACAAAACTCTTACAACATGCTGGTAATATTTCCACCCTGACCTTGAAAAAGCGATGTCAAGTACGAACAATAGAAGTAATGGAGATGTTTGCTCCAGCCAGTTTAATCTACCAAAAGTAATTGTCTGCTTATGTTTTGTTTGGGCTACACTGGCCTCTCTTCTTTCTGTGTCCATGTAGGACACAGGTTCAGTTTGAAACACATGTTCAAAACTCCTGCAAGCTGCCTTGGTATTTTAGTGCCCTAACAGCCAGAGAAAACTGCACATGTCAATAGCTTTTTCTGAAGATCCTGAGCACTTAGAATTTAGAGCATCACCTTCCCCTATCCTTTCACACGCAGGGACTTTGCCATCACCTTAACTTTCTGCAAAGACTAGGGATGATTAGGAGGTAGAATTAGTATGTCTTCTCTCTGTTACCACAGTGCAGTTCTGAGTCTGTGGCTTTCTATACATATATTTCCTTCTGTTCCCAGAGAGACTGATATTTCTGCACAACCTGGTGATGTCTGCTGTCACTTCAAATTCTCCAGTGTTATACCTGCTGCATTTTCACCAAAGCCAAATGTTGCCACAAGGTTTCATAGGTGAAGCTGGTTCAGAAACTCAGCTGTCAAAACCTCCCTTGTTCTGGGAATCTTCCTTCTTGCTTGGAGAACACACTTAAGGAGTATACTTACTTTAAAAGTGGAGGTGTAATTCCTGTTCTAGTCGATGGAGCCTGGACAGAAACTTGGCTGACTCCCTGCTAGGCGTTTCACTTAGTCCAAGTTGAATGACTTTCCCAGCTTCATTGATTTAATCTCAAAATGTACTTCGTCCTCATCTTCATAGTTTTGGGTGGGAATGTTTCCCAGAGTGAGGAGGTGAATGAATGTTCAGGGAACGCCACTTAAAAAACCTAGGTCACTTTTGACTGAAAGTTGTTCCTCTGTGCATGGTCTTTTCTATGCTTTTGTGGATTTACGAACAGTGGAATTTTATGGAAATACTGTTGTTAGTTCTTTTGAGCGACAAGATGTGAGGTGAGATGCATCTTTGGTCTGACAATATGTTAATGTATTACTGAAACAATTTGTTGCTGATAAACCTGGAAATGAGGATATTGATATGTCCAGACAAGAAAACAAGAATAATTTAAGTGATTAGCTATGAGAAGTTTTAGTAGAATCAAGACTATTTCATATCTCTTTATCTGCACTAAGGCCTCTTCTTGCAAATCTATGGGTGAAATGTTACTATTCACACATAACGTGGTACTTATACTATTGCAAAATAGTAATATTTTATATTACTTAATTCTCTTCTGTAGTGATGGCACATCTGGTAGATCTAAATGGAATCAATACCATTCTGTAGAAATGCTGATCTTTTGGATTTGGGGGATGAATTTCAAGAATTTTTTGTTTGCTACTTTAGTCTACAGCTTTACAAAGCAAACAATCTATCCCAAATCCCTGCTTTTTCCTCAGTTGAAATCTACAAAGGTGCTTATATTGGATCCCATTGGAGAGAAAATACTGCTAAGCCTTTCAAGAGGAAGTAGATTTCTAAAGAAAATTTCTTGATCTGAAACAGAATTTTGTTCACTTTCAGAACATGCTGCAAGTTTAGCTCTATAAGAGAAATATCCTGAATGGATGTTAACCTTTTGGTGTTCATTGATCAACAGCTGGTAGTATGAAGGACAGCAGATTTGATCGTGGTACAGAAAAGAGCAATTAGAGTGATCAGTGATGGAGCAACTACCTTGAGGAGAGACTAAGAAGGCTAAGAGTCTTGAAGAAGTAGAGAAGGCTGGGGGCTGTTGCTATTTGTAAAGCAAGCATGAAGGTGGTGGATAAGTTGAAAGCAATAGTTGTCCACCAGAATTCTTTAGACTTGGATTAGCAAGCATTCACTGTAGCTCATAGATTAGTTTAAATAGAACAAGTATTTCTTTAAGTAGCAGGTAGAGAGCTGCTGCTGCAGGAGTTCTGGAGGCAGAGTATCAGCAGGTTTGAAAAGGTATTAGAACAATTCTTATACAACAAGCCCATAAATAAATAGTGACAGGAACAACCGAGGCTGTAGCTCCAACATCCTTGCTGTTAGCCATGTGGATTCTGAGAATTTAAAAGGGATTGTGGTGAAGAACCAGGCTGCTGTGTCCTTGCAGAGTGGTAACTTCTGTTAAAACCATCAGAGACAAAAAGTGGGTGTCATGCAGAAGATAATTTCTTGTATTTGCTGTTTCCCTGTTTTGCAATTTACTCTTTATTTGTAAAGAATCACTTTTCCTATGCAAACTACACTGTTTTATTTTTATCTGAGCTATCCTGAACTGATACAATTTCTTTTTCATGTTTTACAGTGAATAATCCTATACCTTCCAACCTGAAGTCAGAAGCTAAAAAAGCAGCTAAAATATTACGAGAATTTACAGAAATAACTTCCAGAAATGGACCTGATAAAATCATACCTCGTGAGTAAAGAAAAAAGTTTTGTTTCAGCTAAAACCTCCAGCACTCCCCTGTGTTGCAATTCTACTCTTTATACCAATTCCCTGTTTTCACTGACCATAACTTAGGAATGAGGATCCTGGGGTGCCATAACTTTTGTGAAAAAGGTTTTGAAAGTGAAGGGGTTCAGTTTGCTGTATTCTAGGCAGACATTACTTACTAGCAGAGATTTTTTTCATGGTTACAGCCACAGGAAGGCTTCCCTCTGGGGTGGATGGACCATCTTGTGCTCATCTTGTGATGTCTGTTCTTAAGGGAGAACCTGGAATAGTAGCTCTAGTTGTTGAATATCTGTGCTTATTAGAATTAGCTAGTATAAGATGAGTTGAAGGAAAGAGATCAGGATGCATTTCTCCTTTGATATTGATTAAGCACTCCTATTTGCTGTTCTCTTTATTTTTCCAGTTGTTATTCTGTGTTTCTCCTAGTGTCTTCCTTCATCCTGTGTCGCTGGTTGTGGCTTTGAATTTGTAATTGTTATGTTCCAGAAGGTCTGTAATAAGACCTGTGGGATGATGACACTTTATTTGCCACAAACTCTGTCTAATGAGAGAAGCTGATTAGGCAGCTGTGTGTAGCTGTGATTTAAATTCAGACTCCTCTTCTTCAAAACCCTGTGGAAATGTGGATATCAACTATTCACTGCCTCTTCATCTCGCTAGGGGTACTCACACACAAAGTTCATGGCAATAAGCAATATAATTCTGCATGAGCTGACCAGGATAGGTGAAGCAGATGTGGCAGTGCAGAGATCCATGCAGGCTAACATGACCTGTGGCTGGCTTTGTGGTTAGCTGTGGAGTGGATGCTTCATTACCAGTTCAGCTTTTTTTGCAGTTTTCCTTAAGCTTTTGCTTTGATTATTTGACTGTTATGTGTTCAAAATTCATAAATGTAAAGTTGTGATTTCCTCTTCTCTTAGAGCTTCTCTTACAAGATCTTGAATAAGTGATTTTTCTGTTTCAGCTCATGTCATAGCTAAAGCCAAAGGCCTTGCAGTTCTGTCTGTTATCAAAGCTGGATTTTTGGTGACTGCTCGAGGTGGAAGTGGAATTGTATTAGCTCGTCTTCCGAATGGAAGTAAGCGGGTATTTTTCTTTTGTGTTTTATGGGAGAATTCAAAGAAAAAATATTGTTTTTTTCTTCATTCTTTCTTTTCATAGCATAAAACATGAGATGTGTTAGGATTTAAGTCAGCAGGTGACAACGTTTGGTTTAAAAGCTACTTTCAAAATTTTGTACCTACTTTGAACCAGATGCAAATGCTTTCAGTATTTTTGTGGAAAAGGATGAAATATAAAAGCATATAGTTTAAACCTCATTAGAATAATTAATTCTATCCAGTTATAGACAACTGTATGATAAATCATTTGTAAAAAAGATTTCTTTAAAACACGACTTTGTATTTCTTAAATTTCTTCCTGTGGGATAAACCAGTATAGTTATGTGATTTTGTGGTAGTGGTTTTGAACATAGCTTTATATAGAGAATTGATTAGCGTTTTTTAACTATAATAATAATAAAATTGTTTCTCGTGATGTGGAAAAAAATTCTGTAAATTTGTCTTGTTTCGCATGACAGCTTGGTCTGCTCCTTCTGCAATTGGAATTGCTGGCCTTGGTGGTGGATTTGAAATTGGAATTGAGGTATAATTTTACATTTGAAATACTTGGTAACTTTTTTTTGCAAGAAATTAAAATGCATTGATAAAGATCTAAATGTTGGTGAGCTAGTAGTACCTAATTTTCTGTGTAAAGAAGATATTACAAAAGTCATTTATACAAGGCAAACAATCCTATAAGTGTAATTTCCTAGAGAGATTTAATGAAAAAAAGTGGTATAACAGCTATTTCCTTCATTTCTTACTTCTAGCAGACTGAATTTTTCCCTTATGGAAAGTGTCATTTCAGTGTTCACTGATAATTCATACTTGTTCATACAAGCAAATTTGAGTTGAGTAAAGGTGTCCTGTACTCAATACTATATCAAATACTTTGGTAAAAAGCACAAGGATTCCATTTGGCAGGAAATAGTGAAAGGAACTGAAGATGGAGTAAAATAGAACCTAGATAATATTACAGTACTTCATGCATTTCCCACTCAAATTTGTGATTACTGACTTCACCCTTCAGTTTGGGAGCACCAAAGCTGGTGGTGCCTCCTCTGCAGAAACGAGCCTGTTTCCAGCCAGCAAAAGTGGTTAAGTAAGGGACTCTCAGCCTGCTCAGAGAAGTCCCATTGACCTCAGCCCTAACAGCACTCTGCTCCTGCTTCCCACCTCTTCTTCCTCGCAGCTCTTTCACCCTTGTTTTTTTCTGTCCTCCTTTTTTCTCACCCTAGCCTCCAGTCCTGTCCTTTTCTTTCTGTTTAGCTTGTGTTCTGCTGATTCCCAAAGAAAATCACAAGGTAACAGTATGCTGTCAACTAGATCTCTGGCTATGGGCATTCTGCTCTTCAGAAGAATCCATGCATAGCTGATTTGGGTGGTCCATGCCAGCCCCCAGTGTGTGTCCTACAGCCAACCAGCTGTCCTTGTCCTGACAGCCTGTCAGCCTGCGCTCACATGATGAGCAACAGATCCATATTTTATTGTAGCCTCATTGTTCACTGTGTGATCTCAGGCATTATTACTGTATGCTTTTTAAAGGATACTGTGAATACAAAATTACTGATTTTTGTAAGGGTTTCTCTATGGTTTTCATAACTACAGGATCTGAATGCTTAATAAAACATTGAATTTGAGTCCTGGTGTTTGATTTTCAGTTTGTTGTTGTTTTGGGGTTTTTTTGTTTGGTTGTTTTTTTTCTTTCTTTTATGTCAATGAAACAGACTCTTCACGTCCTTTGATGGATTTATGAAATTTTTCCTTTAATCATCTCCATCTGATATTTTAGATAATGTAACCATTTGCTGTTGATACTTTACTCAAATAATTTCAATACAGAAACTGTTTCTGAGAGGGCATTTTTTTCTGAGCAATATTGTGCCCTTCATTTGAAATTTTAGTCAGCTTACACAATACTGTTTCCTTACTGGCATTATTACAACACAATCTTATTTATTTCTTCTAGAGAAGGATTGCTATTCAGAAATACCTAAGTGGCTTAGGAGCCCAGAGTCCAATTTCAGCATTCTTTTAGTCATATATATAAGCTTAAACTTTGTAGAAATTGGTTGGATTTTATTCCCATAGGAGAGATTATAGTTGGTGTAGTTGTAGTGGTACTTACTGGGTGGTTTTAACCAACAAGAAGGAAATCACAGGCTTCAGAAGTCATAGTGAACAACTTGGTACCTCAAATAAAAGTCCAATTTTAAAATTAATCTAAATGCTTTCCTTGAAGGTTTTCTTGCTGTGGATTCATTTTGTTTTAGCTGTAGATTCATCCTCTTAATGGGTGAGAGGAGGTAGCAGCATCCTGAATGACACAGTCTTACCATCCCTGGATGATTCAGAAACTTCTCATGTCAGCCATCTTTTGTTCAGGGTGGGGTAGAGGTTACCAGGGGGCTAATAACAAAGGCCTCTTACGCTGTGTGTAATGCTTCTGGGCCAGCCTTGTTTTGCAAATAATCTGGTATCTCCTCTTGTATTCCCTGCTGTCACTGTTTGGAATTTGGGTAAGTTGAAAGTTTTTTCTGAACCTGGCTTTCAGTCAAGTCCATCAGATGAAAGATCAGGCACAGTAATCCTTGGGTAAAGAGATCTGTGGAAAAGATAAAACCATCACAGTAAGGTACAACAGTGTAATCTACTCTGTTGAACAGCCTGGTACTGCTGCAGTGTTTGTTTTATAACACATGTAGTGTGTTTAGTGAGCTTTCAGGTAGGACAGAGTGAGCTTTATAGGATCATGCTTTGAAAGACTTTTCCTTCTTTAAAATGCTTCCTGGTTTGGGGGAAGAGTTCTAGGAGTCTTTTATTGAAATTTGTTAAATTAAAGAGGATTACACTTTTACAGTACTGATGGTAATAGACATCAATTTAAATAGTAGTTCTTTGACACATCCATTTTATGTCACGATCCATGCAAATGAAGTCTTCTAAAAATAGTGATTTTCTTCTTTTCTATTTTCATTTTGTATTTGAATCTTTCAGAAATACTTTCAATTTCTTCAGTTATGTGGTTTAATAGCTTCTTGAAGAAACTGGGTACATCCCATGTATTCAAGTATTTAAAAATTAAATATTAATTAATACTTATATATACATTTTCATATATATATTAAACCCCAGATTTTCTGTCAAGAAGGCGAAATTTTGCCATAATGGGAAAACTTGTATCCTTTTTGCTTTTTATTCTTTGGACAGTAATTTTTGTTTACTAAGTTCTGTCTTGTTATTAATTCAGTTGTGGAAGGATCAAAATTATTTCCTTAATCTGATCACTCTTCACATCTGAAAATGCCTTCATAATTATTTGTAAAAGCCATAGAAGAAAAAAGCCGTTAAAAAGCCTTAGAAACAGCCATATGTGTTTCTGTTACAGCTATTGTTTATCACATACTGACCATGTCAGCACTTGAGAAAAAATCAGTCAAATTTGATTTTTAAAGTATGTGAAAGGATTTTAGTTTCAAAATACCTTACAGAAAAAGAATCAACTTCATGTTGAAAACTCCTTCAGAATAATCCTGTACAAGAAAGGAGGCGATTCTTTGAGAGAACAAGAGATTCTCATGTGAGTTAAAACCTTGGTAAATCTGAAGCTAGTTTTTCATCAGCAGAAGGGAATATTTTAGATACTCCAGCTGTTTTTCTGTAAAATGGCAGGTTCTTCTCTGGTGCTTTAACTTTAACTTTCTTCTTAAAAAAGTATAGTATTTTTATTTGATATTTTATAGGTTTCAGACTTAGTGATAATATTGAACCATGAAAGAGCAGTAGAAGCTTTTGCCAAAGGAGGGAATCTTACACTTGGAGGAAATCTTACTGTAGCAATTGGACCTCTGGGAAGGTAAAACACTTTCCTAGTATGGGATAGATTTAAATATGGGGTGGAGTTAAATATTAAGAGAGTTTTTCAAGGTATATATAAACATTGGTGTGGCTTTTATTTATATGTCACAAAACAACCTGGGCAACTTGTACGTTGACTGGAACATACTGTTCTTGTAGCATTACAGCTTTTCAGACAATTGTTGCTTGCTTTTTTTTTCCTTTCCTGATAAAGGCATTTATTGGTAGAAGGAAAGCATTCTGAGATTTATTTGGAGACTGCTTGGCTAGGCTCAATAAAAGAGCATGGGTGCTACCATGCCCAACTGAATTATTATTTTCATCAACCTATAAGTCTGTGCTTTCTGTCACCACAGATTTGCCTGACAGTAAATAAAAAATACACCACATAATTACTTCTTATCCTTAAGTGGTAAAACCAGCTTACTTTGAAGGATGAGATGATATAATTGCAGAATAATTTAACCTTGCAAGATCTCTACTCCAACCTTTTGCTCAAAGCAAGGTCTGTTATGACTTCAGATCAGGTTGCTCAGCCCTTTGTTCCAGTTGGGTCTTAAAAATCTCCAAAGATGGAAACTGCTCTGGGCAACCCACTCTACTCTTCAGCTGTCCCTCATGGTGAAAAGTTTTACCTCAAGTCCAGTCAAAACATTTCTTGTTTCAGTTTATGTCCATAGCTTTTTATCCTTCCACCATATACTGTTATAAAGAGCCTGGCTTCATTGCCTCGTCATAGACGCTTGAAAGCTGCCATTAGGTTCCCCTAAGTCTTCTCCAGGTTTACCAAGGCCAGTTGCCCCAGACATGTCATGGGATATGTGTCTCCTTATGCCTTGTTGGTTTTTTTTTTATTGTGAAGTTTTTACTGACAATTTTTCATCTTTTCTGACAAAATAAAAGGATAAGGTGATACCTGTTCCACAGATGAGGGAGATCTGTGGATCAAGGGAGGGCAGTGAATGTCATCTGCCTTGCAAAACCATTCAGTATGTTGTCCTGCAACATCTCTGTGTCCAAGCTGGGACATTGTGACCTAGGTGTCAGGGTGGGACAGACTTGGCAAAGAGATGAAAAACCAGATCATCAGGGTTGAAGAATAGTGGTAAATGATTCATGTTGTACTCAGATGCCAGGTTTCTGTGGAATTCCTCAGGATACTCATCTGGGACCTTCTCTGCTTGATATATTTATCAGTGGCCTGCAGGAGCAGGCCTCAACTTTTCAAATTTGTGGGCAACACCAAACCAGCCAGTACACTTTAGGGTAGGGCTGCCATTCAGTGCAATGGAACTAGAGAGTATAGAGAGAAAATCCAACAGGAGATCTCATGCAAAGTTCTGCACCCTTGCTTGGATGAGTCCTGTGCAGTTATGTAGGCAGTGCCTGCCAGGCTGGATAGCTGGCTGGTTGAGAAGATGCTGGGGTGCTAGTAGACAGGAAGCCGAGCCAGCAGGGCATCCTGACAGCGAAGGCAGTTAAGGGTGTAGGGGGCTGCATCAACAGAGCTGTAACCAGTAGGCAAAGGAAATTATTGTTCTGCTTTACTTGACACTTCATAGACTGTGCGTAGAATATTGTGTCCAGTTTCAGCCCTGCAGTACAAGAAAAATACTTGAGTGTGTGCAGTGAATGGCTACCAAGATGTCCAGGGACATGGAGCATTTGAATGATGAGGCTGTGGGAGCTCAGCTTATTTAATCTAGAGGAGAGAAGACCTTGAGGTCTTCTAAGAGTCTGCATTCCCAACAGGATCACCAGGAAGACAGACCCCAGTTCTTTACTGAGGTGCATGGCAAGACAGTGAGAATTGGTAGTCATAAATTGAAACAAGGAAGGTTCTGACTGGCTATGAGGAAAAAAAAAAAAAAAAAAAAAAAATCTAATGTATTAAGTACTGATACAGGTTGCTCAGAGTGTCTGTGGAATCTATATCTTTGGAAGTCTTCAAAAACTGGCTAGGAAAAGCCCAGAGCAGTCTGATCTCAATTTGATGTTGTTTGCTCCATTTTGAGCAGGAGGTTGAACTTGGCTGGCTGGCTGAGGCATGTTCAAACCTAAAGTACAATGTGATCCTGTATAGGACAAAAATTATAATCTTCCAATTCTATTGAGGGCTAATAAAGCCTTACTTGAAATATTTTCTGCATGTTTGGGCACCATAAAATCAAGGAGCATTTGGATATATTGAATAGAATTCCAAGTTACCACAATCCTAACTGGATAATTTTAAAATATTATTAAAACATGGGTTAATCATTTTGAGACTTCTGAATGCAAGAGGAAGTCTAACGTGGAGCGTTCTCATGAGGCAACATTGTTCTGTGCTTCAGAGGAAACTTTACCAAACAGCCTAATTACTTGGTACTGGATTCTGTCTCAAATAAGAACTGAAAACATGTTTCAAGTCTGGCCCACTGGAATGTATTCAACAGAGTTTGTAAGAACAGAGGGAAGCAAAATTCTTGCTGTCTTTTGATAGAATTAAAATAAAGACAATTGCTGTTCATGTTGCAAAGTCATATTTAAGACTGTCAACCAAAACTTTTTTCTTTCTAGAAACTTGGAAGGGGATGTTGCCCTGAGAAGCTCTGCTGCTGTCTATACCTACTGCAAGTCTCGGGGGCTGTTTGCGGGGGTATCTCTGGAAGGAACCTGCTTGATTGAAAGGAAAGAAACAAATCGCAAGTAAGTTCTCTTCAAATCTAGCAGATTCAGTGAAGGCATAGTGCCAGACTGAACTAGGATATATTCCATTTTGAAAGAGTTTGTTGTGAGAACACACTGTGTTGACTTTTAGGGTTTCTTTAATTTAGACATGTTGCAGTGGGTATTGAGATGACGCTGAATGTTTAGAGATTATATATCTGTGACAGGTTGACCTTGGGTAGCCACTTGAGGTGCCAACTAAGCTGCTGTGTCACTCCCCCTCCTGGACAAGGCGGGAGGAGGAAAAAAATATAAGCTCATGAGTTGAGATAAAGGCACTTACCAACTACTGTCTCAGGAAAAAAAACAAACATTACTTGGGGAAATTAATGTAATTTATTGTAGCTAATAAGAGAATTGGATAATGAGAAATAAGAACAAATATTTAAAATAACACCTTACCCCACCCTTCTTATCTTCCTGAGCTCAACTTCACTCACAGCTTCTCTACCTCCACCCTCTGAGCAACACAAGGGAAATGAGGAATGGGGGTTGCAGTCATGTTTTCAGACGTGGCCTCTCCTGCTTCATCCTCCTTACATTCTGCCCCTGCTCCAGCATGGAGCCCCTCCCATGGGAAGCAGTCCTTCACAAACTTCTCCAGCATGACTCCTTCCCATGGGTTGTAGTTCTTCATGAACTGCTGTAGCATGGGTCCTTTCCACAGGGTGTAGTCCTTCAGGAACAGACTGCTGACAGAAAACCTGTTGCTGTGTGGGCTCCTCTCCGCTGGTCCACAGGTCCTCCCCAGAGCATGCTCCAGTGCAGGCTTCCCACAGGATCACATCCTCCTTCAGACATGTCTGCCTGCTCCAGTGTGGGGTCCTCCATCAGCTGCAGGAGGATATCTGCTCCACCATTAACCTCCATGGGCTGCAGAGGGACTATTTGCCTCACCATTGTCTTCACCACAGACTGCAGAGTAATCTCTACAAGAGCACCTGGAGCACCCTCTTCTCCTCCTCCTTCACTGACCTTACTGTTTGCAGGCTTGTTTCTCTCACACATTCTCACTCCTCTCAGTTGCTGTTGTGCAGGGGTTTTTTACCCTTCTTAAATAGGTTATCACAGAGGTGCTACCACCGTTGCTGATGGTCTTGGCCTTGGCCAGCGGCGAGTTTGTCTTGAAGCCATCTGGCATTGGCTCCCTCAGATCCTGGGGAAGCTTCTAGCAGCTTCTTACAGAAGCCACCCCTGCAGCACCACCCCTTACCAAAATCTTGCCATCTAAACCCAGAACAATATTGTAGGAGATAGGTATTGAGAAATTTTACTGTATAATGAGAAATCTTTTTTGGAGTACTTGAAACAAAAACAAATCTGGTTTCCAGTGCCACTGAAGTTGAGAAAATATCCAGCTTATGGAATTCTGCTTCCTTTGTGCAGCCTGTTAAGTTTAGAATCCAAGGAACCTCCGAGTGTCTTGCACTTATATGTTCTGTTTTTATGAAAATTGGATTCTACGAATATCAGCAACACTGATTTTAATTACAGCATGTCGGTAACTTTTAGCTTTCTTGACTCGTAAAATTGAGGTTCCAGTATTTCCATTAAGGAATTTTACTACATCATTAAGGAGCCTATTACACTGTTCTGCCAAGTGGTGTGTTTATCTTCAGTTTGCTGTGTGATTTGCTTTCAAATGTTCTAGCTGATGCATACTGTGTGACCAGGAACAAAGTATTACTGGTGAGGAACATTTTGAAATAAGGTGGTAGGTTGGCATTCAAGTTTGCTACAATTAATTATCATTCCAGATTTACAGTGTTGAGCTAGTTCTGTCATTTCTCACTAGATGATCAGTCAGAGAAATGCAGGGCCAGGGATAGAACATTTGCACGAGATAAATTTATCCAGACACTGAAATGTAATGATGATCAAACATTTGGCATCTTTTCTTTTTTATCAGGTTTTATGGGCAGGATATTCGTGCTAGTGCCATCTTGCTTGGTGATGTGCCTTTTCCTTCTCAAGCAGAAGACCTTTATGAAACCTTAGCATCCTTCACTGAAGTATATGAAAATGAAGAGCAAAAAAATAATCCAGGAAAATCTGTAAGGGAACAAAGAAGGGTTTGTGCACCTCTTTTTCACATAGTTTTTTCGGTTCCTGAACTGTTCATAGTCAGTGGTAATGTTGATGTTCATGTGACATTCTTTACTTCTTTCTTGGATGCTTAAAGGTGTAACACGTTGTAGATGCTGCATGTCAGTAATACATTTGTTCAGGTATTACCCAGATAGTTTCTTCTGGGTAAGAACATTGCTGGTTTTGTTTTGCATCCTCCAAAATAACAAAACATATCCTTATTTCTATAACAGTGTATAATCAAATTTGAGGTGGTGATTCAAAAACTTTAACTATTTCTGATCAAGTTAATCTGCAAATAAGAAACATATTAGGTTTCATGGGGATGCTCTGTTCCTTTGTTTTCAGTTTCACCCAAAAATACCTCTAGGCTCTGAAGTTACAATCTGCTTCCAGGTGTCATGCAACTTCTAATAAAAATTTGTATGTTTTAGGTAAATGACCCACCTACTAGACCATCATCAAGACCAGAGCCACCTAAACCCACTGTTAGACCAACACCACCAGGTTAAAAACATTTTGATAATGATTAATTTATTCTCTATAAAATCACAACATTAAAGCTAATGAATGTTATGAAATTATTGTAGTAGTAGCTACCTCTGTAAAAATATCTTGTTAATACTTTTCCTTGAGCAAACCCTGAAAGCATCTTGGGATAGTGCCAGCAGCGATAAAAGGAAAAGGTTTTGTTTGTTTTCTGTTAGCAGACTTTTCTCTCTGACAGATTTGCTATAGAAACAGTGTTTGTATGGTTACAGAAGCATGCAGCAGTGCCAAGGAGGCATTCCTGTTTATTGGATACATAGAAGCCTCGTGGTACAATGAACCTCCTTAGTAAAAGAACAGTCCTACTCGAAACTGCTAGTCCTGCTTCTAGAAACTTCTGGTTTCTAAAAAAAAACCCCTTAGTTTCTTTTTTAGTTTGTCATTACCTTTTAATAGGTAGAGGTCTCACAATAGAGCAGAATAGGCAGAGTTTTGGCTCTACAGGTTTGTCTACCAAAGTGCTCGCATTGAAAGTAAGGCTTTACTGTTCAGCTCCTGTTGTCATTTCATTTATTTCTCTGGACAAGGATATAATGCAAGGTCCTTATTACTTTCTTCTGTACTGCTCCTTAGGTAACTGCAACCATTTTATGTTTTCTCTTTTCAGCTAAAAAGAATACAAACAGACTTTATCCTGAACTTCCAAGTGATTATGGTTCTGTGGGTAAGTACTAAGTTTACACGTATTTTGTTAATGCAGTGTGGAATCTGAGAAGTCCTAAAAGTACTTTCAAGGTCATCTAACAATATCTAGCTATACGTATTTTTATTTATTGTTCATGTGTTAAAATGAGATTCAGGTCTTGTATATTCTCCTTGAAAATATTTCATAAATATGAATCTTATTTCCTGGCTTTACATTCCGAGAACGATGCTCTTCTGAACAACAGAAGTTCTCTTGCTTTATTCAGTGAGCTTGAAAAATGCACTGGAAGTAGTAAAACTGTTTTACATTACCACCTAATTGAAGTGAAAAAGAAAGCTGATATAACAAGCTTGTGTCCAAGTCCTTATGTAAGGTACTGTATCTCCTGTTTTAATTAAAAGTGCTTCCACAGGTCATATCTGATGATACTGGCGTAAACACAGATTTCCATTGCAGTTATACTCCTTGAGGTTTTTTTATCAAGTAATATAACCTATTTCAAATGCAAGAAGAATGTTAAATGAAAAACTTGTTTTTCTAAACTGATAATGTAATCCTTGAACTCAGATGCAAGTAGATTGTTTTCATGTAACTGAATAATACTTAAGGTAATGCGTTGAGTTATAAAATAAGGTTCAGTAATGCTTTAAACCATTTCTAGAAACTTGGAAATACCACAAATCTTATTTTAAAAACATAATAATTTGCAGAGTCCTTTGCAGTTTTCAAAAAAAGTGATGGCATTATACTTCAAAGATACTACTTGATTGCTGCTCTGTTCTGATCCTCTTTAAGTTTAAATCAGATTCAGCTCTAACGGAAGAATCTTACTCTATGATATTTCCAACATAACTCTTGAACTGTGGGGACTATCATCTGGAAACTTGTGATCTGTCAGGAAAAAAAAATTATCAAGCTAAATTATTATCAAGCTAAAATCAAGCTTGATTATAGATCACAATGGAATGTCTGTTTCAGGCAGAGTATTATGCTTTAACATAGTATTTAAACTTTGTTGTTTGAAGGCCAAAATCCTGACTGTATTTTCCATTTCTCGGTTCATGTCATTAGAGATTTTTCACTAAACTGTAGGATAAATTATATGTGTCATTTTCTTTACGTTCTCCATATCTTCTTTCCATACATGCTGTTAATGTACGTGTCTGTTGAGGGGACCAGCACAGGAGGATCTTAAGCTGGGCTGTTGATGTGACTTCTGCAGATCAGAGCCCTCCCAAGAATCAGCATTTGCTGTTGCACTGTAGGACTTTTACCAGGAAAAAAGTGATGACTCTCATGATCTGTACTTAGTAGCTGTTTATCCAAAAAGAAAGAAAAGTTTATCTCCTGGCTATTAAAATTAAACTTTCCCAGCATTAAAAAAAAAAAAAAAACTGGCCAGCTGAGAAGAGGTTCTAAAGCAGTAGGACAAAATTGTACACAGGTTTGTTGTATTAAAGGGAGTGTTTTTCCATTCAGGTCCAAGTGACAAGGTAAAAATCTTCCAGAGCCATCTGTTGATGGCTTCTAAGAGACTGAAATCAACATGTAGACTTAATCGGTGTACTACTGAGGATTTCTAACAGTTTCTAGAAATACACAAGCATATCTATAAGGAGTGCAAGAGGCAGTAAGATCTTGTGTAAATGACACTTCCTGCAACAGATGTTGTCTCATGGTGAATTTTTGTTTATCTTACGAGCTCGGCATGGTGTATTTTGCTTTCTGTTGCAGATAGTATTTCCATAGGTAACAATTCAAATGCTAGCTGAATTCACAGAAGTTGTGTATGTTTCTAAAGGCTAAAGGATTGTTCTTATCACAGGAAAAAATCAAGGCTGAAGTCAATTCCCCTGAGTGTGTAAATACTATAGTTTATATTCATTTTGATGGGATGCTGGAAAAGAGTTGCAGTCCTTTTCACATAAGTAACAAAGGGTGTATTAATGCTGGGTGATGGAATAGAAGGAGCCTTAAGGCCATGCCTCCTGTCAATAATAATCTCTTCCTGTTTATAACACAGATGATTTCAACAGAGCTGCCTAGCAGCTATAGCTCATACTAGCCAATCTTACTTTCAGGATTAGTTGCTGCAACGGATGTTCTACAGTGATCTGAAAAAAACCCTTCAACATTTTTTTCATCTTTCTAGTTTGAAAAAAAAAAAAGGGTTTAGATAACTAGTAGAAGACTTCATGAAACTAATCTGTAGAAAGATACATTTTAGGTATAATGGCTGCTGCAGGGATAGGTTTTGATGTTGAGCAGCAAGTTTGGCTGGGTTGCCAGTAGTAAGGAGTTGCTTTTGGGCAGGGAGCAGGAGGTTGGCATTAGAAAGGTTGAAACATTAATTCTTCTCATTAGATGGAAGAACTGGACTTGTGGATGAAACATTTTTAATTATTTTATGTGGGCCTGAATTATCTAGATAAGTAATGTAATATAACCTATTTCAAATGCAAGAAGAATGTTAAATGAAAAACTTGTTTTTCTAAACTGATAATGTAATCCTTGAACTCAGATGCAAGTAGATTGTTTTCATGTAACTGAATAATACTTAAGGTAATGCGTTGAGTTATAAAATAAGGTTCAGTAATGCTTTAAACCATTTCTAGAAACTTGGAAATACCACAAATCTTATTTTAAAAACATAATAATTTGCAGTGTCCTTTGCAATTTAAAAAAAAAAAAAATAGCTGATACAGTTACTGTGATTCATTGAAGCTTCTATAGTAGTAGAGTTTTTTCTGGAGGCTGTTCAGTTAAAGAAATTAGATTCAGATTTGCTTATGAGTATGCAAGTTCATGCCTCCTCCCTTACTAGAATTAGGGATTTGAAGCTTGATTTTTCTACTTGTCCTCTCTATGTTGTACAATCTAATAAAAAGACTGACTGATCCATACAAGCTTTACTTTATCTGGACAGAAGGTTTCTACAGAGTTCTGTACCACATCTGTAATTTAAATGACCTGTCGTTCCTTAGTAGATTACTTGGACATTGTAAAATGAATAACTTAAAATTACCAAGATGCTGAAACAATTAAGGGACAGACTTGAGGCAGGAATAGGGACGAAAACACAAAAAACCTTTTTCCTTCCAAACAGTGTTCTTTCACTATTCATTTACAGTTAGCAAAAATCATTGTGGGCTTGGTTCCTCTGGCCTCAAAGATGCCCACTTGCTTAGTGTTTCATTCTGCCTCAGCTCGGTAGCGTGTTCCCTTTCAGGAATGTTTATGAACAAGGGACTGGGTCTCTGATACTATGAGACAAAATGCTCATTGTAAACACAGAAGCAGTTATTTTTTTAACAGTGTATTTTTTCATAATTTAGAGAAAGTAATGATGCTGTTTACATCTGTTAAGCAGTCATATAATTTGCTTAAGAAACTCATAAGAGCTTGTGCCTGTAAAGCCTGTTCAAAATTCTTTTAAATTTCTCTTCAAAATGCTGTCTGTATTACCTTCCACAACTACTTGAACTAAATATTTATAAATTCAGTTCTATCTTAGGGAAAATGTGTGCCCTCTTCTCTTGATTTTTTTGAACAGAATAAATTACTTACCTGCAGACGTTGAACCCTTGTGACTATTGTGCATAAATCATCACACCCAAGCTTGATTACAATAAAACTTTTTTTGAAAAAAAAAAAAATTACTGCAACTAGTTTTTTTAGCAGCAACTTTTCACTTTGAAAATAATACGAAAATATTGAGAGATTGTTGCTGCTCCATTAGGCATGTATTTGTGTTCTTACATTATAGTAGTACTATTTCAAGCCTACTGATGAAGATACAGAGGCAGATGAGAAATTTTTCAATGTTTTTAAGCAGCTAGAAAAAATGCTCCTTCCTTCAGTGAGGGTTTGAGTGATTTGTCCAACTCGTTATTAAAAATTCATGCCTTCCCAGATGGATTTTTCTGCAGCTTTTAGACAGTGGCGTTGGTGGCATTCTTCACTACACTGGAGAGCCCTTTCCTACCTAGAGGTTTTTTCTTGTTTCACTCTTGTTCCCTTTGAGACACTTGTGCTGTAATCAAATCACCTTTTGATCTTCCTTTATCTTTCTTTTGATAGCTAAACAGATTGATGAGCTCTTTGTCATAAGTCATTTTCTCTTTCCTTTCAAATTTTAAATAGTGCCACAAATAGCAAATTCTGAGATGTGAGCTCCCTGAGATCAATAGGATTTGCGCTCCCAAACGCCATAATGAATTTGAACTAAACTCCAGTCCTTACCATTTTTATTATAGTTTTATTCATTTTAACCTTCTTACTTACGTATTGCTACTCTATGTTGAAACAGTTGAGATGATATCCACCCTTTTTGATTAGGTAGTGCCATGAGGTTGTGTTAAGCTCAGTTTCTGTTAACTAAATCCCTCCCAGAGATGATGCTTTCCATGGTTACAGTTCTCCAGGAATCCGGTCTGGGCCAGTTTTTTACAATTTCAGAGATCTCTGGGGTTTTTCATGGTCTATGAATGCCAGACAGTGCAATAGATCTGTGAGAATTCCATGAGAGGTTTTCATGCCTCCTAAAATGTATTTTGTCAAGAAAATTTGACAGCCTGTATGTCTTTTTGTTGTTTGTTAGTATATTATGGATTTCTTTGTGGCCAGTTAACATATTTGTTAACTAAGCCAACACAATTATATGGACTAAGAATCCATAAAGTACTTCTGAGGTAAAAAGCTTTTTAAAAAAAAAAATTATTCTTGAAATAGGCCATCTTTTGATGAGCAATGTTTGACTTGGGGATTTTTACTGTAATTAAGACTAAAGAGCACAATAGTAAGTAAAAGCATTTCAACACTTTTGAAGCCAGTACCTCTGTAATCTCCTGCTAACTTTTTCCCCAGTGTAATGCCTGAATTATTGCTTTTCCGGTGTTGTCAGAAAGTGTATGCTTAAAGTCTGTCTTTCTAGCATATTGTCAATATTGCAATTTTTGCTTCTTCCTCTCTGTTCTGGATCAAGATGATATAAAATGGTGTCATCATTCTGAAGAAGA